TCTATATTTCAGTTAAGATGGCCTCAGCCTGTAAATGCCCTCCAAAAACCATCTTACGTCTGCATCGTTAGTAACATTTTGGGTAACAGGCTGATAGCTCGAACAACTATATCTTGATCTCTCATCACATGTAGGGTAAGAAATTTCAAGGTAGAAAACTAGACATGTATTTCTTCCCGACAAAGGTTCTACCATAATCTAAGGCCGCAATACATGATGGATTATCGATGCTCACTGGAATGACAGCTTTCCAGTGACGATAACCAGGATAAGCTTCAGAATTAGTGAGAGCGGCGTCCTGGGTCCCTCCATCAGATCCTTGCGTTACTTCTAGAAGTGAAGTTTCAGAAACACCGAATACTTGAACTAAAATCAGGACGACGACAGGTGTAGCTCCCCCCACTCCGTTTCCACATCCCACTGACGTAAAAACTCATCTGTATCAGTATTACCCTCAGATTTTAGATTTGACGCAAGGGCAGTAAGATTTCTCTTTTTACACAATTGCCACAGTTTCCCCGCAACCTGGTCCGGAGGTGGAAACTAGAAGCTCTCCATTCTATTCATGTAGAATGGACTATAATATGCGACAGCCCGTCAATTCGGTAGCAAAGCATTCACCACAAAAGGAAACTATCAGTGGTTCTTGATGATCAGCATGTGGGATCTTCTTCTGAGATGACCAAAAGCTAGAGACTTTTCTCTGGCCAACGAATGTCCCAGTCCGAGAAATTATACAGATAAAAATTGGATATTTCAATACCTCTGACCGCATCTGCCAGTTTCTTTGAGCCCCAGCCGAGGTAGACCTCAAGTTATATTATGTTATTGTCATAGTAGCATTAAAATTCCCTTGAGAATTTTACAAGGCAAGACATTTCACTCGTTAGTGTATAGTCTGCTGTAACGAAATGAAAGACAAGCTGACAGCAAGATCCCGATGTTTAGCGCAAAGTTTTGGACTCTGCCTTGGTTGCTGTCCATTATTGCCCTTACTACTCGTAGGTTTAGTTATGACTGCTTGTCCGCTCAAGTAAAATTACTTTCTTCGTATCACACGTGCTCAAGTCTTTCTTAAGGTATTCCTGAAATAGTTTTATTAACTTTGTGAACACATGAGGGGCACAATTTGCCCCAAACGGTACATCATTGTATTGGAAGAGCTGTTCCTTGAATATGAATCTCCCTAACGGGTACCAAAATCTCTGCATATTCCAAATCCAGAGTCGTTAAGAAAGTAGTTCTACGGAGAAGTCTTATCCCAGTTCTATCCCTATAAACAGACAAAGTGTCTTGAGGTAAGGAATCAAACGTGTTGACGCATCAGATTTGGGGGCAAGAAAAGTTGGATAGGTGCTGATTTCTAGTTAGCTTAACTTTTTTATTGATAGAACCGCGGCTAAGCAATTGAGAGACTGTCGAAGATCGGTAGTTCATAGATGGACTAATGAGATTCAGCTAGTGACCACGAGTCCAACTTAGGACCTTAGCGCCACTCTGAAAGGTCTGCCATTGATGATGAATACGCGTCAATGTCCATGCTGATCTACATACTTCATCTGCATATTTGGGTTGATGCTGTCTGGCCTTTTAGCCTTCAGTTGTTGCTCACTTGATCTGACTTCTATTTAGAATTGGCCTACTTGGTCAGACCTACACCGAAGAACAACATATCAATCGAAACCTCTGTGAGTTCTCTGCCAGCATGCGATCCTCTCCCTTCTTTGAACCTAGGGGATAGAGTATTGCCACTTGCACATGTTGCTGTACACAGACCAAGCACGCATCCCTGTGTGCGACAATTTCTATTATGCCTTCCGCTACGTCACCTTAGGTGGCTAGAATAGAACAGAATTCATTCATCTATCGTCATCAACAAGACCTGCTCTCGAAATGTCAGCCTTGGAACAAATCGTGAACATTAGTTATACTAAGGTTGCCGCATCATGGTGGTGATGCGTGATCTGTCAAAACAGACTACACGGCCTTTAAAATAACACAATCCAGAGCGCCCTGCTGTTCGAGTGCCACCTATGCAAAATGTAACGTTAATCGGGCATAATGATATTTAACTTCTGTTAGTACTGAACATTAGAACTTTGATGGTTTCCTAACCAGTGATGTTCATACGTACAGTCCTGTTCCGTAGTTATCACCAGCCAGGTGGAGTTTGCGATCACAAGCAAAATGTAACGATAGTCTACCACATATGTACCTAATTTCTATATGTTGTTAATGGAAAATAGTACTTCAGATGTTTCGTAACCTGTCATGTGCATATTATTGACCTGATAGCTATTCCAAACCTACACACAATTCTAATTCTAATTCTAAATGTTCAGCGATTCCTCGTCACTGCTGAAAACGTAAACATGTTCGGTGTCTACAGTTTGGAACGAGAACAAGGAATGAAGGTTTATAAGCGGCCATAGGGGAGAAAGGTAGGGCGATGGGGCGCGGTGCCGCTTTCCTTCTCTGCGTGCGCGCTTTGAAATCATGGCGGTTGGGTACTATTACGAGGGTACTGTGATATGTATTCTAAATGTTTACTTCGACGAGGACGGAACATAATTGCTATGCTTTATCACTGTAATATGCGTTGGTCTGTGTTTTTTATGTTCCACTTGGACTACGTTGAAAATTTTATGAAAGGGTGAATGGTTTATGTCGAAATTTCTGTTATATTTTCATTAGATTCTTTACAATTTGGAAAAGTTACTTCATTTTCTGGAATTTCATAGTACTGGGGTTGATGTAAGCTTCCACTACATTTCAAACAAATACTATTATTTTAGCAATTCTTTGCAGTATGGTGGAGACCAGCACAATTGAAACATCTTAGGAGGTTCAAAAATTGTACATACATCCATAGATATGAAAAGTAGACCTTCTTTCTGGCTCTACACGACGATAGTACGTCCATCTCTCTTGTACGGCTCCCTGGTCTGGTGGCCTTGCATTAGAACTGAGTCAACTAAGGCCAAACTCAATAAAATTCAGCGTTTGGCCTGTATTAGCATTACAAGCGCAGTGCGAACAACGCCATTGAGTGCAATGGAAGCTCTGTTGGATCTCCCACCGTTGGATCTGGTGATCCGCGGTGAAGCGAGAGTAGTCGCTCATCGACTGTGGAGTCAGGGCAGCTGGGCTTTCTTGAATCCGGTCAAGGGGCATACTGCCATATTAGTCGAATTAGATAGGGAGGACCCCGTCCTTCTAAGCAGGGGTGATCGTATTACCCCTAAATATCGCTTCAACCGCAAGTTCATTGTGGAGTACCCAACGAGGGAGGAGTGGGACGCCGGTAGCCGAGGACTCTCCGAAGTGAGCGGGCAGGTCTGGTACACGGACGGCTCGGTCACCGAAGAGGGCTCAGGTGCTGGGGTCTCTGGACCTAGAACTAGGCTATCTCTGCCTCTCGGTGAGTACACCACCATTTTCCAGGCGGAAATCTTTGCGATTCTGGCTTGTGTATCTCACATTCTGGAGGAGGGTGGGCCTAGGAGAAGAATAACAATCTTATCCGACAGCCAGGCTGCAATGAAAGCACTAAGTGCATGTAAGATTACTTCGAGTCTTGTATTGCAATGCAGGGAGGCTCTGGATTGCCTCGCAGCGAGGCATCCGGTATCGTTAATATGGGTACCGGGGCACGCTGGGATAAGGGGCAATGAGACGGCGGACACTCTGGCGAAAACAGGATCAGCCAGCAAGCTCGTTGGTCCTGAGCCAGCTCTAGGAGTAACCGCGCATAAAGCTAGGAGGAAAATGGAGACGTGGGTTGCAAGACAACACTCTCAGAAATGGAGAAGTATCTCTAGACATCTCCGCCAGGCACGAGAGCTCATTGAAGGGCCCAGTGCTAAGGATGGACGCTTCTGCCTATCTCTGGGTAGAGCCAACCTAAGGTTGCTGGTGGGACTGTTGTCTGGCCATAACACGTTAAGGCGGCACCTGCACGTGATGGGGGTGGCTGAGGATCCCTTATGCGAACGCTGCGGAGTAGAGGAAGAGACCTCGGCGCACGTTTTGTGTCGCTGTGAAGCTCTGAGCTACTATAGGCAGACTATACTGGGGTCCATTACTTTGGACCCTCAGGACGTAAAGGAGCTTGGACTCAAGGCGATTCTCAACTTCGCTAAAAGGGCGAGGCTTGTGATTTAAGTATTGTAGAGGTGCATAAGGGCCCGCTTAAGCGGCCTATGCACTGGCTCCTTATGGTGGCCGGGATGCCTCTAAAATTCAAGATTCATTCATTCATTCATTCATTCAGACCTTCTTTAATACCTTCAGTAAATGTAGTCTCAGCTAGCTCCAAGATAGAGCATACCAGAGAAATATTCATAGACGAGACATGCGATCGTTCGGGACGATGCTATGCAAAGCAACGTTCAACCCTGCTTGCGTCAGAAAGCATCGCTGAACGGGATGTTATAATATTGTGTCTAGCTCTTATGACGTGTTTGACTGGTGCGGTCGAGCAGCTTTGCCAGATGGTCGATGCTTAGGGCAGGGAAGAAACTAGCGTTAGCGTTATCAAATTGATGAGAACTATGGAGCTTGTACTAATTGTATATGGGCCTGTTTGGCTGACTTGACCCATCTAATTTTTTGTCGGAGGGACTAACTTGAGCGAAACATAATACTCTATGAACTGATGACAGCGTTGCGTTAAAAGTGCTGAGTCAACCTACTTGACGCCATTTTTATAACAACTGTTAGGTTTGTAAAATATTATTTGATTCCGAAAATAAGCAGTTTCCAAAAGTCGTCATCAAATATAATGAATAAGAATCACCCCTTGGATGTTTGGCTCGATGATGTGTGTGTTTTGTGAACACCTTGTATGCATCATCAAGGATACATTTTCATTGTATCCGACTTTATTTTTTACTCATTCGACTAAAATGTTACGATCTGCGTAAACGCGATTCTCTGGTGACATCTGATGAGCACCTACTTTCCCGAAAAGTATTTGCTTGGACTTTTTCCGTTTTCAGTTCTTACCACTGATGTCAGGAGGCATCTTATGTTTTTCGAGCAACAATGTTTGGTTACAAGGTATCAACAGGTCCACAAGGTACTACATACACGGGATATTCCTGACTGGTGCGGTCATTTCAATGACTGTGGGAATATCGTTGGAGATATATTCAAGATGCCAGTCTGGAAAGCTACACTTTCAGACTAGTCATTCCATTACAGGTAATACAGATAAGAGTATTCAACAAAGTACCTCACCAAGGTTCAGTAGTGAGTCTAGAAAAATGATGGAAGCAAAGCTCCGAGAAATGTCGATCTCGACACTTAAAAATAAGGGTTGATTTTCAAGCAACCCTAGGTCTTTCAGAAAAAAAAAACGTAATAAGCCGTTTATGTTGTTACTTAGTAGGTACAATATCACCAAAAACTCAACTTATACAATTTCAGAAAAATATAGTTATAATTTTTCCTTTGAGGGTTTTGGTTCTTATGACTTTTTTCATTCGATTCAACCTAGATTATCTCTTAAACTGAGTTATGTCTCAGTGGACAGTTTATTCATATTTTAGAATCTATTACTAATTCCACATAGGATATTGTGTTTTGTTTTATAGCTAACTAAGATGAGGACTTTGGGTAAAAATATGTTGAAATGAATGATGTTCGATGTTTTTATTTTTTTAAATGAAGTATGGTGAAAATTGTATGTTATATGTTACTTCAGGCCTCATTCTACTCGGCCTGAATATTCACATGCTAAATATTTTATTTTTTGTAACTGAGGTTGTTAGTAATGTGCGGTCACTGAGACCGCACTACGTTAATGACGTTACACTTTCTGCACTACGGTAGTTAAGGGTTAAGCCTAAACTTTTTTCAATAGGTCTTTTTTTTATTAATGTCAACATCTAAATTATTGAGGAATATATGCTGTTTTGAAGAAAATCATGCGAATCATAGCCATAAACAAGAAATTGTTTCCAGCAAGCTTTGCCGAGTAATAAATTGTTTTAAGTAGACTGTGTATGTTAGCATTTTGATGGCCTATCAAAAAGATTCTTGTCAAGCAATACTCAACAAAAATGACACTGGAGCAAGTAGCGCAATCTGTTGCTCTACAAGTTGATGGTAGTCGTATTCGGTGTTTCGTAGAAACGCTTGACTTTCCATGCAGTACGGTATTCGATGCGATACAAAGATTTAGAGGAACTGGTTCTCACTCTAGAAGACCTGGGCAGGGATGACGGAAAGCAATAAACGCACTTGAAGATCGGCTTCTGAGACTTCAAGCTCTTCGAGAAGCGACAGTTCCTGCTACAGCTTTGACTCGAAGACTGGATGATGTCCATGGTACCTACTACAGGTCCTCTATTGGATGTAAGTCATCGAAGGCAGCGCTTGGTATTTTCTCGAACTCATGCACATTGTGATACGGACGACTGGAAAAACGTTTTTTACAGACGAGTCTCGTTTTACGAGATATTCACCTGATGGTCGCCAGAAAGTGTGGAGACGGCGTGGAAAACGCTATGTTCAAAGTTGTGCAATTTGGTGGTGGTGGAGGAGTGATGGTATGGGGCGGTATTTCTTTGGAGTCCCGCACATATTTTGTTTCGCTATTAGGAGTACACCTTACTGTGGACATTAGAGAGTGTTTGGAAGGACATGTGGTTCATCATATCCCCTTTATAGGAGAAAATTTTTCTCCTAAGGTAAGATAATGCTCAGCCGCATTTAGCCAGAATAACTAGGCAATACCTCAACGATGTTGGAATTCAAGTACTAGACTGGCCGCCTAGGAGTGCGGATCCCAATCCCATTGAGCCCATGTGGGATACATCAGGAAGAAGGCTTAGGCAGAACTAGGAGAATTTCAATCTGAGGCTGCGTTGGAACAGGAGCTGGTAAACGAGTGGGAGCAAATACCCCAAGACACAATAGCTGGTTTAATTGAGTCTATGCCACAGAGGATAAGGGCTTTTATTCAAGCCCGGGGAGGAAATACCCGTTTTTTATAACAATTTCTAATTATCAATGATGTCACTGAAATTTTTGAAGTTAAATTGTTTATGGTTATGATTCGCATAGTTTTCTTACCAATGTTGTCACTGTAACTTTTAAGCTAATTGTTTATGGCTATGATTGGCATGATTTTCTTTAAAACGGCATGTATTCTTCAATAATTGAGATATTGACATGTATCAAATAAAGACCAGCTGAGAAAAGTTGAGGCTTAAAATTTTCATACGAATACACAATATTCACTAATCCCCTGTGTCCACAGGGTGTTCAGAAAATTAAAGCAAAATGCAGCTTTTAGTTACATCCTGTATAACAACAAACATTTTCAATTTTTTTGCAAGATTGCAAGATCGGCAGTCAATAATGATGACAACAAAATTATCCACAGCTTGACGAAGAAATTAACCAAATTGATGCGAAATCTTACTCTAAGGGGGTAGTCTGTGGGTACCAACGCCTGGAATCTCTGGACGTGATAAGGGTACAGTTGGGCCTCATGTAATATGCGCCACACTGTTGCATGTGACACTTCTGGGACCTGTTGGGCTCTCTGCCTTGTGCTTATTCCCGGACTTTCTTCCACAATATCCAAGATTTCTTCTTCGGAATTTAAAACGCGTTGTGGGCAAACCCGACCTCCATCCACTCCACGTCTGGGGCGCAAATCTCCACTAGCACCTGCACGTAAAACAGTTGAACTAAATGTTTCATGATGTGGTATGTGCCTATTCGGAAATCGGTGTACATACAAACGAGCAGCCGCTCGCGAATTTTGCCCTGCTTCTCCTTACGCTAAAACAATGTCCACTAACTCCTCTTCAGTGTACACATGTGTCATATTTATTAATAAATAACTAAAAAGATAGACTCGCAGAATACTTTCTTATTTAACTTAACAAAATCGACCGTTCTTCATTCAGATCATCCACGATACAGATTAAACCTTATTTACACGTTCTTATCAGTTTGAAAAAAACAAAAATTCCTAGTATTTTGTTTTCGTCAGTTGTTTGGTAGAACATTTGCTACAATAAATTTTATTACTGCGTGTTCTAATATCACTACGATGAACGCAAGATACAGATATTTATTTTTCAATTCATTATTGAAACTCAGATTTATAACCTAATTTCTGTAGGACTTTTAGTTTTGGTTAAAATTTGTCGGATAGGTTGCGAAACACCCTGCAGAAACCGTACCTATATTTATATTTGTTTTCATCTTTTAGGTCTAGTTTCCTGGATCTCAGCATTTATCTCCTGCCTATTAGGCCTAGCTTCCTTCTACTCTCGAAGGCTGAAGAACATAGTGAAACCAGTGCACCTCAAGTTGCTTCACAGTCTATTTGCACTTGCTTCATTTTCAATCGGCATTGCAAGTCTATGCCTGGGCTTCGAAAAGAAAAGCTATGCCCTTCACGTCACGGAAACCCAGTTGAGTGCTTCACAATGGATGGTTATAATTATTGCTGTTTTTATAGGGCTATCTACATTAAGAGATATTGTGCGGCATGTAAAAGCAATCTGCCGGTGAGCTGATAATATGGTATAGCTTGATCTAGACTTAATTCTTGTGTGAATCGAATTATACAGGGTGGCGCAGATGAAACGCATGTTTTCTGAGTGAATAGTATTTCGCAAAGAGAAGTGGGTTGACCTTGCCTCACCGTCAGAAGAGAACTCAGGCAATGCAGTTTTAGCCATGGCCCGTGGACAACTGAGCATCGCCGGTTTGGCGTCGAGCACTTTTTAGGAAACAATGATTCTGTAGTTACCGTGCAACGTTTATTCCGTCGCCAGTTCAATGTTGAATGCCAAGGCTCAATTCCAGATCGAAATACGATATTCCGATGGATTGAGGCATTTCGAACTACTGGATCTGTAATGAAGAGGAAGCCACCTGTCCTTCCTCGTACCGTTCGAACACCAGGGAATATCGAAATAGTGAGAAGAGCGGTCCTTGATAGTCCTCCAGCTCTGCGTATGTATCGTCGATCGTTACAACGCATTCTGCACGATTTACATTTTCATCCCTATAAAATAACGATTGTGCAAGAGCTAACGGAAAGTGATTTTGCACAGCGTAGACAGTTTTGTGCGAGAATGCTGACCATTTTTGCTGATGATCCTAACGTCATTATAATGGCGAGGTACGAAGCACACTTCCATTTAACCGGATATGTAAACAAGCAGAACTGTAGGTATTGGGGGCCGGAAATCCAGGAGAGCTACACCAACGACCCTTGCAGAGTGAAAAATTGACTGTGTGGTGCGGAATTACTAAATTAGGTATCATTGGTCCTTACTTTTTTTAGGAGGAAGAAAGAGCAGTAACAGTTACTTCAGCTCGTAATGTTCACATGTAACAAAATTCTCTATTACGGCAACAAGTAAATATGGGAGAACTGTACTTCCAACAAGATACCTTCAGGCTAAAGTGTACCCTCTGCGCCACCCTGTACTTCATTTAAAATCAGAAAAAACTGTTCCATTTCCACGCTTACTGGCGATAAAGTAATTATGTTTTTTGAAGCCTATATGACATGAAGGTCGCGAAAAACCATGTCACTCATTACCGTCTGCCTGTCTGTCCGCAAATCCTTGGCCCATCTATAACTTCGAAAATACTGTTCGGATTTGAATGAAATTTTTACACAAGGTTACTACTATGTCAAGGACCAAAAAGCTTTGTTGTTTTTCAAAACCGACCATGTAGCGACAGAAAAAAATTCAAAAACGGTTAAAAATTGCTCAAACTTCGTTTCTTGAGGTGATACTGATCATTTTTGAAAATCGCCTTGGGGATAAAACATTGGAAGGTGGAGATCGTAGGAGGTGGGGAAGGGTGTAGTCACTGATGTAAGAATATTGAATCCCTTCCAACCCCGGTAATTCTACGCGCTTATTGGACATATTTCACACACATAGATTTGCCCCTACATTTGCCCTTGAAACTTCGCGTACCTATCGGTACACGCTTGCCGTGCGCCACAGTGTTGTTAATATTGCATCTTTGTTAGCGGATCAGACGGGCTTATAAAAGAAGTGTGCGCGATATCTATACAGGGTGTCTGCGAAAGGTTGGGAAATCTCGAAACTGGAGATACTACAGAACAAAATATGTGAATTGACCAAAAGTTGATAGTATGCGAGATACAGGGTGTCGCAGTTACAATTCTGTTTTCTATTTTTGCTTATTGCTTGAGAGGTACTTCAGATTTTGGCATAAAACTTGGTCTAGAGAGGTTTTCTACTATGAGAAACAAGAATCCGTTATTTTTTACGGTCAAACTTCTAGAGGGCGCCACTTACAGAACTATTTCGGTAAATAACTTATCATAACTTTTTGTGCTACCCTGTATTACTGGTTAGAAGTGTCTAAAGCATAAGTTTTCGAGGTATTTCTTTTTAAAACATTACATCTTGCGAATCCTTACATTACTTGTCAGAATATGCATCGAACGTATACTCCATTATGTTTAACAACTTATTGTCAACTTAAAATTATTCATGAAGTTTAAAGCAATATTATGACAAACATTACTAAACTACTCAGATATTATCCAAAGCAACTTGATTATTATGTTATCAAGATGTTTTATCATAATGGTACAAATAATGCATTGGAACTTTTAAAAACAAATATCTCGAAAACTATTAGCTTGAGACACTTCTAACAAGTAAACTTTTTTTTGTTGTGGAAATACTAAAGAATGAGATTGTTCGGCCAATTGTTGTATGCAGGCTAGCACAAATAAGTTAAATAGTGCTGTAAGTGGCGCCCTCTAGAAGTTTGGCCATAAAAAATAACCGACTCTTGTTTCTCATACTAGAGAACCTTCCTATACCGAGTTTTATGCCAAAATCTAAAATACTTCTCAAGCAATAAGGAAAAATAGAAAATAAAATTGTAACTTTGACACCCTGTATCTCGCAAACTATCAACTTTTGGACCGAGGTATGTTTAGGTCAATTCATATATTTTGGTCTGTCGTAGTCGTGCCATAAGTTCTGTCCCTCGTTTTCAAACAAGTGTAGACCTGTTAATACTTGTCCGATTGTTTACATTGTGGTGTCAGTTGATTAAGCGCTTTTCGGGTAATTACATATACCTCAGTTTGTATTGATCTCTCGAAGCATAACGATGGAGTGGGGCAAGGCAGAGAACCGTATTGCAGTGATAGGTTTACATAAGTGTAATCACAGTGCTAGTCAGATTTTTGAACTCTTACGCGGCCTTCAAATATCGCGTAAATTTGTGTCTAGGACCATTCAGCGGTACAATGAGACGTCCTCTGTTGATGACAGGCCAAGAAGCGGAAGACCTCGTCAAGTAAGGACTCCAGCAGCCATCAAAGCCGTAAAAGCCAGGATTCAAAGGAATCCACTCCGGAAGCAGAAGATCCTATCCAGGGAAATGAAGATTCCTGTCCGGACGATGTCGCGCATCATTAAACAAGACCTAGGGCTAGGGGCTTACCGGAGACGTACGGGCCAGCGACTTACGGCCACCTTGCGACACATCAGGGCGACAAGATCCAAGAAGCTCTTGGAGAGGTACGCAGCTGGGGGATTCCGAAAGATTTTGTTCACGGATGAGAAAATCTTCACCATAGAAGAAAAATTCAACCGACAAAATGACAAAGTGTATGCAAGGAGTTCACAGGAAGCTTCGGAGATCATTCCGAGAGTTGAGAGAGGCCACCACCCTGCGTCAGTCATGGTTTGGTGGGGGGTGTCCTACGAAGGGGTCACTCAGCTCCATTTCTATAAACAGGGCGTGAAAACAAAAGCGGCAAACTATCAGAGCGACATACTGGATCCTATCGTCAAGCCTTTAAGTGGTACATTGTTTGCCAACCAACACTGGGTCTACCAGCAGGATTCCGCCCCCGCTCACAAGGCTAAGAGTACGCAGCGCTGGCTGGAAAGCAATGTGCCAGAGTTCATTGCTGCGGAAGATTGGCCCTCAGGGAGTCCGGACCTCAATCCTTTAGACTACAAGTTGTGGGACCTGCTAGAGCAGTTGGCCTGCTCCAAAGCCCACCGTAATATCGAGTCCCTGAAAGCGGATTTGATCCGATCAGCGGCAGCTATTCCTTTGGAAGCTGTGCGTGCAGTGATAGATGAGTGGCCCGCGAGATTGAAGCAGTGTGTGAAGGCCAAGGGGGGACATTTTGAATAAAACTGTTTGATTATGAATTCTAAAAATGTTGTCGAATAAATAATATCTTTCATATAAATATATCTTATCTTGTTTCATTTTTATCATGAGATTATCATGGGACAGAACTTATGGCACGACTACGATCTCCAATTTCGAGATTTCCCGACCTTTCGCGGACACCCTGTGTATACGAGCATTGTGCTTGGAACGCAATTTAATGAGATAACTTGTGAGCAAACATTATATAGTACAGTATATCCAGTATACATGGTGATTGGAAATTCGACCTATTCTCATTAACTGGGGATCGGAATTGAGCGGTTTCTGAGATATCGGCATTTCAAGATTTTTTAAGAATTTTCTGCTTACTGATCAATACAATTTTTTTTTAATCTACTCATTTCTTGGAACTGAATTGATGGTTTTCTGAAAGCTGTGAAACTAGCAAATAATTGAGATAAAAACGGTATACCAAAAGTTTGCAACTGTTAGAAATAAAAGGCTGTTAGTGAAGAGATTTTGATTTTTGTTTAATATTTCGAAAATCATCATAAGTTATTTGAAATAAAATGTATGATATACGGCATACACATTACTAAAATGATTGCAGAACTTCACGAGCTTTCCAAAACCATACAAATCTTGTTAACTGTATCAAGCATTTGAAAAAAAAAACAGCTACCATCGATTAGAGATAGTATAGTAGACTTCGTAAATCCAATTTTCACAAAACGGTTTTCTCGGAATAAAATGCATTGTATTTCTACGTGTCAAGCTGACGCGTTTAACTCCGTATCTATTCGGGTGTGCCCATCGGAGTGTCCAATGAGGTTCGTGATGCGTCATGACAGACAGTTTGTTTATCGCTTAGTACCAACTATCTTTGGAATTCAGACGTGTTGTATCGTGTTGTGATCTTACTAAACATTCCTGCAAATTGTCTATATGTGTAATGGCTGCTTACGAAAATGAAAAATATGCCGACATTATGTATTGTTACGGGTTTTGTAATGGTGATTCTGCGGCAGCACCGGCGTTTACCTGATGTAAACGTGTTTGATACTACTTACCGACGCCTTCGAGAATCTGGCTCGGTTCATCGACAACGAATAGACACTGGCAGACCTGCCATCCATAATGCTGACGAAGAAGAAGACATTTTAGAGTGTTTTCGAGTAGACCCCACTGTGTCAACTAGACAAGTGGCACGGCAACTAGGCATATCCCAATGGAAATCCTGGTTTATTACTCAAACAGCGCAACTTTATCCATACCATTACAATCCAGTGCACGCTATGGAGGAGGGCAACCCTGCACGAAGGATTGACCTTTGTAGATTCTTAATTCATGCCGATATTGAAAATCCAGACTACCTCAAAAATATCCTTTGGACTGATGAATCGAAATTCGATCGTGATGGTATTACAAGTTACCACAATGCCGACTATTGGGCCCCTAAGCGTCAAAATCCAAAACAATTCAAGGGCAGCAGCGGTGGCCCAGTAGTAGACTCTTCGGTCTCCTGATCAGTCGCCGTGCGCTGTGCGGGTTCGAGTCCCGTCCCAGGAGAAATTTTTCTCTTGGCTATGGATGTTGTGATTGTCCGTAGGTGGTCGATGGTCTCTGACTGTCGAACGCGGAGGTACCACCCGGCGGTTCTCGTAGGCGGAGCCAGAAGGTGTGCATGTTGCATGCACACGTGTTCCCTCGCCAGAGTCCGTGCGGCGTCCCCCCTTTCCCATGTATCCCCCTATAGCCCCACGGTACCCAATGGGTGCTTAGGCCTTAGGCCTTCGTGGTAGTTGGAGTATAAAAAAAAAAAAAAAAGGAAGGCAAGCACCAGAGAAGATTCTCGTTAAACATTTGGATGGGAATTGTACATAATAAATTGAATGGACCTTTTTTCTTGCCCGACAATTTAAATGGCACCACTTATGAAAACTTTTTATGAAATGAAGTACATGCATTACTAGAAGATGTTCTGCTAGCTAGGAGAATCAATATGATATATCAGCATGATGGCTGCTCAGCCTATTAGTTTCGAGGTATACCAGGTGTACAATACATCTGTTGCAGATATCGAAGAATTGAAGCAGAGGATTTTGGCCGCCACCGACGCGATGAAACGCACTCTTTCAACAAAAGTAACAGTGACCCAACTACGTCGTAGGTTACGTGCTTGCATACGTAACAATGGCAGGCAATTTGAACAAGATTTATAGTTCTTAAGTACCAACGTTGTGTTCGTATCGTTAGT